CTAAAGATACACTTTTGTGGAGAGTAAATGGATTTTGCGTCTCACAGAGATTGAGGTAGGAAATATTGTTCTTCTTCATTACTAATTGAGGTTGCAAATTAGTACTGTAAATTTCAGCTGGTTCTTCAAGACCTGAACATTAGCCAAGTCATAGTGACTGGGTGGTATCTGATGCCTGAGCAATGAGTCTGTCACTGCCATGGCAGTTGTGCCTTTGTTGTTGTTCCTGCCTGAATTGTCTCTATCCTTAGGAAGCCTTCTGGTGCGGAGGCCAGGTTCTCAGAAGGTGCTGGGTCTGGATGCCGATAATACCAGGGATGGATGCGCATATATTTTAAGGAAATAGAGTTACTGGCATAATGAGAAGTAAATCTCTTGGGCTCAAGAATAGGATCATTTGATTCAAGGACTTGCTTGGCTCAAAACCCTGTGCATCACTCTGGGGAGGAGAGGCCCAGATGCCTGAGGGAATGCAGACTTGGATTCTGGACCATTTCAGAATTCCTGGAGCTCCTGGATTTCTTTTGTCAGAGGATATGTCTCACTCTGTCTCCTTTCAGACTCTACACAGTGACCTTTGGACAGGTTCCTCTCACCATTACAAACACTGTGACCCACAAGGCATCCTGGAGGTGATGGAATTATGATACAGTGCCTGGTGTGTGTGTGTGTGTGCGTGTGTGTGTGTGTGAATGTGTCTGTTGCCTGAAGTCAAGAGATGAAATTGAAAGGCCAGAAGCACAGTGTGCTTACTGAGCTCTGAAGCACAAAGCACTGTAGCCCAAAGTGGGGTGCATTCCAGTGAAAAGCACACATTCCTGAGAACCAGATCTGCGGTCCTCACTATCCAAGCATGGAAAGGTGGCCAGAGCCCACTTCTGCTAAGAGCAGGCTTCCAGCAGACGGAAGCAGAAGGGTCCTGCCTGCTCCAGTGTTGCTGCTGGTTTTATGGGCACACTTCTCACACCCTGCCCTGCTAGTAAAAATAAAACGAGGCACACATCATATGTCTCACCCAGACTGCAAGACTCATTTCCTTCTAATAAGCCTCTGCTCTGCCTGGGCTTTCCTTCCCTCTAGAAAGATTGAATCTACAGTGGTTTCCATTATGAATTTCTGGTTTTCTACCTTGCTCTTTTCCCCCCTTCTCTGCTACTTTGAATAAAAATAAAGTTAGTGTCTGCTTTGGCAGATGTACACATATACACACACATGATTTCTCTATGGTGGAGCTAGGGACAGATATTCTATGAGAATAAATAGAGAAGGACAGCTTTGACCTACTTACCTGTGGCCCACCGGAAATAGAACCCTGGTTGATATGATATGTGCCTGTCCTGCCTGAGCCGGGCTAGGCTGGCAAAGTCCATCTGGTTACATCCCGCAGACAAAACGAGCTGTGGACATGCTAGGCCTTGTAAATAGGGCCCTTCACAGCTGGCAGTCCTGGAGTGATCTCCCCTTCCCTACCCCGTCTTTGACTTGCCAAATTCAGAAGTTGAAGGTGAAGCAAGTCTGGCAGTAGCCTAGACAGGCAAGGGAGTGAGGTGGAAGGCACAGCAGCAGGGGCCTTGTTTCCAGGTCAAGTTCTCCGACATCCCCAGCCAGGCCCCCCTGGGGAGTACAGTGTAAAGATGCAGGTTGAAGTTCACAGTGAGATCTGGAGCACTCAGAGAGGCACAGGGACAAGGCTAGGGCCTGCCAACAGAAGGGAACCATTGTGCAGGTGCTGTCACCAGCCCAGGCAGTTCAGGGTTAAGTCAGAAGAATCTGGATGTGGAAAATGACTTGGGAAGGAGGCTTTAGAGAAGGACAGGCAGGGCTCAGCCATAGCTGGCCATCTGCGACCCCAGCTGTGTCACCTGTCCTGTCCTTTTCTCCTGTGCATGGCGCCAAAGTAAACCCTTACTATAGAGGCCAGAAGGCAATCAAACCTAACCCATTTTTCAGATGCAGAAATTAAATAGAGGCTGAAGGGAAAGCTTGGCCCAGGTCATTGGGCAGCCTCACGACCCTTCGGGAGACCCTGCCTCTGAATCCTCTCATCCTTGGTGTCAGGGGATCTAGGGGTCAGGATGGATGAGGTTGTGGTGTCTCCTGCAATGTCCCCGAGTGCTGTGTGCCATGACCTCCAGCTGAGCAGTGGCTCTAAGCTATTTCTGGGACATGTGGGACTGGGTATGAAAACACATATGGCTGCTTTAGGGAATCTTGGGCATTTTTGTTGATGAGAAAAGCCCCAAAATGCAGACATACTTCTCGATTCAGAACTTGTACTGGACTAAAATTTGGCTTTTTTTTTTTTTTTTTTCGTTCCATGGAAAGAAAGAGGGGGTGGTTTGAACAGGAGATTAATAGAGTACATAAGAGAACGCAGACTCCCTGTTCTTCTTTTTAAAACACTTTAATGATGTCCACAGATCCACAGAAAGGAGGGCTGGTAGGACCTCAGGGATCCTCGAAGCCAACCCAGCTCATTTTATGCATGAGCAAACCAAGGCCTTTGGGTTTGGCCGTGGACCTAATTAGCTATTACGCCTGGCCAGGAGCCTGGGTCCAGGCTCGCAGACTGGTCTCTCTGCTGGAACCCTCATGGATTCACTGAAAGCATTCAGCATGCTGAATTAGTATTGATAATTGGTCAAACATTTACTACTAATGTGTGGTCCTTATCTATTCAGACTTAGCATCCATTAGACAGCTGTCTGTCTAGCAGCTCCTGCAGCCTGTGGGAGAAGAGCATTAAAGATGGAAAGAGGGTGTGAGGGACTGGGCCCTCAGTTTCTACACCAGTGTGATATTTATTTCTAAATGGGGCATGTGAGACATCCTGTGAAAGCAGTGAATGATCTGCTCTACTGCCATCAACAAGGGATATAACATGGCTATGATGGGTGAAGACATTTTTGTGGAATACAAGGTCCTGACATGGCCCTGAAGAATGGCCATGATTTTGGCAGGGAAAGAGGAAGGGAAGTTGTTTCAGGTGGAAATGTTGGATATAATCTGAAACAGTCCCTGAAGCTATTGGGTTCTAATCCCTGAAATTTATAAATGCTGCTTTGGAAAGAGGTCTTTGGAAATGCGATTAATTAAAGGATTTTGAGATGGGAGATTATCTTGGATTATCTGGGTGGTTCTTAAATGCAAATGTCCATGTAAGAGAGAAGCAGAGGGAGATTATGGGGAGAAGATTACAGAAGGCAGAGCTGGAAGTGATCTGGCCACAAGTCAAGGAGTGCTGGCAGCCACCAGAAGTCAGAAGCAGAGAATGGATTCCCCCTTTAACCTCTAGGGGGCACACAACTCCCTACACACCTTGATTCTGATCTAATAATGCTGATTTCTAAAGAATTAATTTATTTTGTTCCAAGACACCAGCTTTGTGGTGATTTGCTACTGCTGGCCTAGGATACTAATATAAAGAGGAAAAGACAAAACCTGTGTGGGAAAGGATGGGTAGGTCAAGATACCTGCCAGGAGCACAGTAAGATATTTAGCAAGGTATTAAGTAAATGGATTGGGGTCAAGTGTCTTAGGTTAGTTTGAAGAGGGACAGCAAGTTTCCCCATGTTTCTTACAGTACTGATGGGAATACAGAGCTGAGGAAGAGACTCAAGGTGCCTGCTGGATCATGTTTATTTCCTAGTGGCACTTAATACTGTGTTCCTGATTATACGTAAGAGGTAGTCAGTGCCTGCTGAATGCCATGGAGGATGCTGGCGGCTGCTGTATCTGGGTGAATTGGAAAAGCATCAAGGCTGCCATAGGGCTGGTGTGCTCAGATGTGCTGGAGGAACCTCTCATCTTCAAACTGTGATCTCAGTTCCCCATGCTGGGTCTCACTGGGGTGTGATGGGGAAGAAATGCTCTGCCAACCTGGGTCTAATGCCGCAGGGTCCCTGGAGGATGGGACTGGGTGAATTCAGAGCAGCTCTGGTAGGGGGTGAGAGGTTGGGAGATGACCTGCCGTGCACAATAGGGCTTATTGACAGCAGAGCCAAGTTCTCTGCCAGATTCAAAGAAAGTGATTAAAGAGGGCTTTTGAGTTTTCATGACACTCTTAGTGATCTGAGGTTGTTTAGAGCCATAAAACAACTGTAAATTAGAGGAATGAAATAGAGAACAGCAGGATACTCAACTCCTATTCTCTTTTGAGGTTGAAAAAGCTTTCTGCACAGTTTCTGTAGAAGCAGGGACCTGAAATATGTCTTCAAGTGGGGAATCTCATTCTCCTTTCCTCCTGGGGCCCAAGAGATAGTCTTCTCCACAGCCTTAGCCTTGCTTGGGAAGTGTCCTTGGCCACAGGACTCTGCTGGGCCCTCTGACTAACTGTGCATGCTCCCTTCCTTTTTCTTCTTCTCTTTCCTTCCTTTCTCTTTCCTCTCCTCTCCTCTCCTCCCTTCCTCTCTATTCCCTTTCTTTTCTTTTTATTTTATGGTACTAGGAGTGGAAACAGAGCTGTCACATTGAGCTTAGCCATTTTATTTCCTTACTTTTGAGACAAGGTCTTACTAATTCGCTAATTTGCCCAGGGTGGGCTTGAATTCACAATCCTCCTGCCTCAGTCTCCCAGAGTGCCAGGATTACAAGCATGTACCACCATGTCTGTTCACGTTTCCTTTTTTCTTTTCTTTTCTTTTTCTTTTTGCCTTTCTTTTATCTGATTAGAGGGATCTGTTTGGTCTCATAGTAGTAGGGATTGAACCCATGGCCTTGCACATACTAGGCTATCGCTCTACCATGAACTACATCCCCAGCCCTTGAAAAATTTTTTTTGAGATAGAGTCTTGCTGAGTTGCCCAGGTTGGCCACAAACTCATGATCCTCCTGCCTCAGGCACCTAAACAGCTGGTATTACAGGCATGCACCACCATGCTTGGCTTGAAGGGTTTTAATATATCATATTTGTAAAGCAGTGGAGTTAAGAGATAGTCACCAATCATTCCAATGTCATGAAGCCAGCCACGTAACCACTGGACTTTGCCTTTTCCTTGTAGAAATCCGAGAGGCCTTTCGAGTTCTGGACCGAGATGGGAATGGCTTCATCTCCAAGCAGGAGCTGGGCATGGCCATGCGCTCCCTGGGGTACATGCCGAGCGAGGTGGAGCTGGCCATCATCATGCAGCGCCTGGACATGGATGGTAAGAGCCTGGAGGCTGTGCCTCTGTGGGGCTAAGCTCCCTCTCTTCCCCAAGACCTGTGCTTATGCGGGGCCTCGCACCTTGCATCAAGAGATGTGGGGCCATGTTTCAGTTTACATTTGAGGAGTGGAAACTTGGACTGTGTCAGGGTTTTACCAAGCTCATTCCATGGAGCTCTAGGGGTTTGCAGAGGTGGTTTCAGGCTGTCAGAGGAGTGGAGCGAAGGAGGTCAGGCTGGGGAGCGGTTAGAGACCCCACTTTTTTTCCTTCCCTTTTCCCAAAAAGCACTTTATTGGAATAGAATTCACATACCATAAAATTCACTCATTTAAAGTATACAACTGTTATCTCATGTAGCATAGTGTTTTCAGGGCTCACTTATGTTATAGCATGGGTCAGCACTTGTTTTGTATGGCCAAATCATATTCTATGGTGTGGACATAGTTGCTCCTCTTCTGTGTGTTTTACATGCTGCATTTCTACTGTACGTACAATCTCACTAGGGCAAAGGGTGTCACTGTTTGCAGAAGGCCTGAGGGTGATCAGGGAAGGCTTTCTGGAGGAAGGGAAATTTGAAAGAGGGTCTTGGAAAAGAGGGACGCTGTGAGGGGAACCAGCACATGCCCTAGACCAGAAGACTGGAGCTCTAGCCTTTCACTTGGTTTCCTCCAATATCAAACTGGAAGAGCAATGCCTGTCTTGATTGTCACAGAGTTGTTATGGGGATTGAGTGTGTACAAATGTGTGGCAAGCTACACCTTATGGTTTAGATCTGGACTGTCTCCCAGAAGACTTGTATGCTCAGAGGTGGGGCTTTTGGAAAGTGACTATAGCTGACTTGCTGCTGAGGGGTGGGGCCTAGTTGGAAGTGGGGCACTAGGGGTGTGATCTGGAAGGGTCTGTCTCCCTCCCCAGCTCCTCCCTTTGCTCTCTGCTTCCGGGCCACCTTACCATGCATAAGGCACTTTACTCCTCCAGACCTTTCCACCATACTGTTTTTGCCTTAGAGCCGGATGCCTGTGGATTCAAAATGTGAATCAGAATGAACCTCTCCTCCTTTAAATTGTGGGTGTCAGGTATTTTGTCCCAATGACAAGGAAGAAGACACTACATTGCCTTAAAAAATATGGGACCTGTTTTTGTCTTGGGTACCACACTGCCTGCAGGAGATGCTACTCAGCTTAGCTTTCTCTAGTAGTGTCAAGTTGGTGGACTCACCTTTCTGGCCTTTCAATTCTTAGGGAAAGTGTGTGTCTTGGTTACTTTCTCTCCTTGCTGAGACAAAATACTCAACACCCAAAGTTAAAGGAGGAAAGGTTTACTTTGGCTCACAGTTTGTAGAGCTTTCAGTCAGTAGTCGGCTGCCTCCAAGCAGGGTGATATAGCAGAGGGGCATCACAGAGGAGAAGTAGTTCATGGCAGGGCAGGCAGGAGACAGGAAAGTGAAGCAGCAGCAGCAAGCCTCCCTTCTTTCTATCTCTTTATATTCCATACAGGCTACAAGCCTGTTGGATGGTGCCACACCTATACTCAGGGTGGTGCTTCCCATCACCTACACCCAGAACAATATAAACCAATCAGCTAAACTAATCACCAGGCACCCATAATGTACATCTCCACACCCTAGATATATCCACCTCAGAAAAGCCCCATCTATGAGTACATGAAGCTTTGGGGGGACATCTAGATATAAGCCATAACAGCGTTTTAAAGTCCCTATTAAAAAAATAAAAATTACAAATAAAAAATAAATAGTAAAAATTTTCAAAAAATGATTGCATTAGGTTATCTTTAAGATTCTTTTCCTGTGCTAAAATTTGAAGATCTGTCTCAAATTGCCTGTTAGCCTCCTAACATTTAGAACTTACCTTGGCTCAAGGTCCAGGAAAAGGAGGGTTTAGTTTGGTCGATCCAACACTTTCTCCTTCTGAAACGCTACTTGATTCCAGACACAGGGGTCCAGAGCAGAGGGCTCTTGGTGCTGTCAGGTCGAGCATGACATTGTAGACCAAATGGCAGGCACCAAAGGCGAGCCTGAGACTGTCTTTTTGGAGGAGCAGACCAAGGTTGTGGTAGGGATATGTTCGCTGGGCTCACAGTTGCAAGAGTGTGGCTTTCTTCTGTTGTCTTGCTGGACTTGGTGGGATGATGCTAATATGGTGGATGAACTTCAGTGCCAACCACCAAGTGCAGCTGTGGACATTTATTTTCTGGTTGGGGATGGAGATACTTTATCGAGTGTTCATTGTAGGAGCAGCCTGGCTTGTCTTTCCAACTGTGATTCTGACTCACAAGGCCTTTGCAGGCCTGCTGTGACCTTGCCTGTATTTTTGAGATATTTCTGAAAAGCTGGTGCAAAGTACATATTTTATATAGCACAACTTCTCTTTCATTGACTTTCATCATTCTTCAGGGGCACATTTGTAAAAACTGTTACCTCTTTAAAATAATAAAAATTATTAATCCATACCTCTGTTTGTGGAACTAAGAAGGTTTTGTGCTTTTGATTCTCCTCATCCAGTGCTTATAATAAAACCTAGTCAAGTGGACTAAATGATAATGGAATTAATTAGCAACTTTAACATGAGCTGTGCTATTGTGGGTAAATTATTCTGCTAAAATGTAAGGGTCTTCAGGAAAGTCTGTCCTCACTCTTTGTACTTATATAGCAGTGGTCCCCCCTTATCCATGGGGGTACATTCCAAGACTCCATGGATAACTGAAACTACAGATAATGCTGAACCCTAAGCATACTATGTTTTTCCTATACATCTATGCCTATGACAAGGCTTAATCTATTAATTAGGGAGAGTAAGATATTAACAGCAATCACCAATAGTAAAATAAAGGTCCTTGAACCCTTATTCCATGAGATTTATCTTATAACTGAGATGGCTCCTGTATATGCAGGAAGCATATACAACTTGGAGACCTTGTATAAAAGGATAGTTTGTGTCCTGGGCAGGATGGAGTGGGGTGGTTTGAGATTTCATCCCACTGGTCAGAATGGTGCACGATGCACAATTTAGGAATTGGGTATTTCTAGAATTTTCCATTTCATATTTTTTGGGCCATGGTAACAACCTATGGAAAGCGAAAGCATGAATAAGCAGTCACTACTGTATTTGTTCTGGACCTCAGCTCGTGGAGAATTTTTGTGTTTCTACAAATCCTCTCTGATTCCACGTGGGACCTGTTGTGGTGAAGCTCTTCAAGGACCTCATCAGTACTCAGGCATAGAAGCTCCTTCTGGGGCATTGTGTAAAAGATTTTAAGTTTCACTAATGTATTTGCAACTTATTTTACCTAGCTGCTGAGGCTGAAAGCAGAACTTCTAAGCAAATCTCATAAACAGTTTTTAGTAATTCCTTGAACAAAACCCAAGTCACCAGCTATTTCACAGTGACCCATCAGGTGAAAACCACATTTATTTACTTTTAAAACATGGCTTTAAAATGAAGCTTTGTTTTATTATGTATAAAAGATTTAGTACCAAATATATGAAAATAATAGAGGAATGTCGGCAGAAGGAATTGCCTACACAATTTATTAAATGTCTAAGTGTGAAAAGAGCCAAGCGAAAAACACCCAGTCTGAGGTTGAAATGTGATTCTTTTAAGGGTTTCATTAATGACGCCAGGAAGGGACATTTCTGGGGTATCGGGCTCTGGAGATGGATGGAGTGACTGTTTCACAGTGTCCTTCCTCTTAATGGGGCCTTTGAGCTGTTCTGTTAAAGAAATAGCATCTAATTATACCCTTCCTTCCTCACTTCAGTAACTGGGGATCCTCCACAGAGACTTGGTCCTACTTAATCAAGTTTCTCTTTGGTGTGGAACATGTGGAATGGCAGATATTTTTATGGGGACAATGCCAAAAGAAGAAAGAGAAGAAGACAACAAAGAGGAATGTTGGTGGCTAAGCTTGGGATTCCTAGTGTAAGATGAAAAGACAGCTGTGTCTGCTGGTCCATGGACTCTGGCGTTTGGGGTTCACAGGAGAGGTGGCCCCACTGGTTCCAACCCAGCTGGCCATGATTAGGAGTGGGTGTGCCCCCCACACCAGCCTTCTCTTCCAGGGGTCTTGTCAGTGAGGTCAAGCCTTCGGCATGAGGCCCAGCTGGAATTAGCTTGATTTATCTGTGTGCACCAAGCCACGGCATAAGGTTTTCATTAGATGGCTTCTGGGGACCGGTGCCTCGCCGGCTGCACATGTAACAGTAGCCTCCTTGGATTAGGGAGCGGGCCTGGATTTCCTAGACACAGGCCAACCAGACAGTTCTAGAAGATGGAATGAAGGCAGGCTGGAGGGGCTGGGATCACTCTCCTGGGCTGCAGCCAGTTGGCCCTGACTGGTGGGTTGACTCCAGCATGTGTGTGTGTGTGTACATGCTCCCGTGTGCTGCCTGTGTTAAACTACTCAGAGTTAAATAAAAACTCACAACTTCTATCCAATGCCTAGGGCTTTCTCTTTCACCCATGACCGCAAGAGTTCTTTCCTGGAACTTGGACCCAATTCCACACTTCCTGTACTCCCTGTCCTGTTTCTCTTTTGGCAGCGTCTGCAGCTAAGGTGCCTTGTACACCGTGCTGGAGAGGACCAAGATCTGCCTCTTGAATGCTTTTCACAGGATCTCCCCATCACCTTGAGTCCGGAAGCCAGCATCCCTTTCCCCTGGGCTTGAGACATTGAAGCCCAACACCCTGGCATCCACTGCATGCCAGGAATTGCATCTCTGAATCCCTTCATAGAAGCGGGTTGGGCATGGCTGCTTGGGTGTCACCATAGGCTCTCCCAAGTCCCCTTCGTTGCCTTCGGCCTTTGTCCCCACAATAGCTGCTTGCTGGGGCTCCTCTGTGTTACCAGCATCATTCACTGGGGATAAGGGCTGGGCATTTCCAAGACCCAAGGGATATTTGTGAGCACTTTCTGCATTTCTGGTGGCTTCAACAACCACACCACTTTGGTCAGCTGGAGTGCATCCAGCCAGCTTTGCAAAT